TTAGTTCTTTACAACAATTCAGAAAAAAATACCATAAAAGAAAATTAGCATGAGAAGGGGGAAAGAAGTGAATAAAATCTGTCTAGAAGACAACAAGAGGTTGATAAAGAAAAGATGGTTGCTGCTTAACTAATTCAAAACATTTATTCAAAAGATGGTTGCTGCTTAACTAATTCAAAACATTTATTCAATGTATTGAATTTAGTTATCAAGAGACTAAACTGCACAAGAAAACAAAAATTAGGCCCAACCTACTCTGTCTCTCATTATTCTGTATTGTGACCATAAAAGCAGGACATGCATTTACTGTAAATTTAGTGAGCAGAACTAAGCAAAGCAAATATCCAGTGAGTACAGTTTGTTAAAGATCAATTCTTCCTTTGTGAATTAATGAAAGGGGTCTACCCAACACTTGTCCTCTTTAGCAGCTTCTCTCCACCTATTTTTAACTTGTCTAATTCGACATAAGACGCTCTTCGAACCTGCAAAATCACCACGAAAAATAGGAAAATGAAAAAAAAAAAATCGCTCGGCCTTTATGCAAAGGTAAGGAAAACCTTTGACCTTAAAGACCATATTTCAGTTTTTAGCTCATCTCGAGTTCAAAATCAAAAAACTCAGTGCAGTTAGGTATATCAGAACAAAACAAAGAGCTTCCAAAGAACTTACGGCATCTCTTCCTTCTGACTGCTTCAATGAAGACGTTGCGTGAAAGTTCAGAACGACAGATATCACAAACAAGTGAATTTCCCTTAAAAAGAAAAAAAGGATAAACGATACAATGTAACTGTAATACGGATCATATATGACACTAACCATTTTCCCTATGCTAGCCAGCTTTTCCTTTGGAGAAGTTTGCTTTGTAAGGTCTGCCTGACTCGGTTGAAAAGGCAAAAGTCGATGAGATTGAATTATACAGAAAAGTATATTCAGGCGCCGCATATTAAATTGAGACACGAAAAGGAAGAAAAAACTTACATTGCTGCCTGACGAGCCTCCAAGTGTAGGAAGACCTAAGTGGATTAAATACTCGTAGTCAACAATCCCAATATGCGTGCTTCTATTTCCCTGACCGAAGACAACAAACTGAAGATTAGAAATACGTAAATTGATAATCTCATACATGTTCCAAAAGAAGAACAAAAATGTGAACTAAAAGATATTTCATCATAATTAACCTGTGCACAATATCCAAGCTGAAAATCCAAGCCCCATGCATGGACAAGGTCATTCTGTTTCAAATAACAATGTCAACGGAAAATCAAGTACCGATATGAAAATACAGATGGGGCGAAAAAAAATAAAAAATAAAATAAACGAATATCCGTTAGTTTCTTTATTAAATCAAAGAACCTGAATCATGTACCACGCACATCGCCATGATGCTCTTGAGAAAACGGGAGCCATCATCTCCACAAACCTGTGTTAACACAAGAAATCGGCTTACATAATACATTTTTGAAATTCTTGTATCAATCAAGAATCTGAGAGCTGCTAACTCACCCTGTACATGGAGGGTCCGTACTATTTTCATAACACTTCCTTCCCGGACCATGTAAATTAATTACCCTTCTGAGAGCACAATATAATTTTTTTTTTTTAAAAAAAAAGTTGGTAAAGATTTAGAATAGGAACTGAACTACTCGACAAATATTCGGCAGGCAAGTGTAGTTACCGGTGTACTTTAGAACTCATTTCACGTGCCGTAAGTTTGTAATGCAACTCTGATTTATCTGCATCTAATGCAGGCTGTGATATCCCGAGTCCTTCTTCCCGAATAATAGATAGATATCTATACCAAAGCCATTCACGTCAAATGTATAACTATCTCACAAAAAAAGTAAGTAAAACCAATAATAAGGTACTAGGTAAAATGTAAGAATTTACCTTCCGGCGTGAAAGTTTTCTACTCCAAGATCTTCATCCCAAAGGAAAACATAAAAGTACTCTGCTATGATGTCTGGATGCAAGAACCGCTTGGCAAACCACCTAAGTGAACACATTTCATAGAAGTTCGGCATTTTTTTTTTTTTTTTGACAAAATCAAAACGGGAAAGTGAAGAAGGTAATGCGAACCATTTAGTTTGGTTAATGGCGGACACATGTATCACACTATTGCTCCATTCCAAGTCTCTCCAGCCATCGACATTGCCATCGTAGTGGAAAAGCATGACGGCAAAATCATTCAGTGGAAACTGGAATTTCATTCATAGGAATGAATAAATAAATATTAAAAATCTAAAAAATGTGTTTTCTCACACACTGTGAAAGCCCCAAGTTCCCTTAGATATTCTCACCTTCTTAACAATTTCATTTACGTTGCGCTTTTGCTTTATCCCGACTGCAATGGCCAGTAAGTTCATTGGTGACTTCAACTTCTAATGTGGGGATAGAAACAACAGGAAAAAAAAAACAGAAGAACAAAAGATATTGATCAGATATTAGAATGTTGAGATCTCATGCAAAACTCAAAATAGTAACAACTAATAAGCACGACAACAAAACACGGTACCTTTTTCTTAAGCGGTCCCCAAAGAGGCTGCATCTCCAGATCAGTAGTTTTCAAAACAATACCACTAGGCAGTGTTCGGGTTCCCTCCGGCCTGCACTCGTTCTAATCCAAGTACAAAAATGTAAAGCACAGAGAATAACTTATAAACTTCCGCAAAGAACTTAACCGAGAACCACCATTTGAGCTACACACAAACCTCACAACTCTTGGGTTTTATAGCCTTGAGGGGATAAAGGTTTCATCCCAAAAACCTCTGCAACCAAAAGTGTCCACACCACACACAAATTTGTTCATAATGATTATGAATAATCACCATATTCCAAAAAAATTAAACCACACAACATCCTCGATTTCGAAAGTATATGATATATATATAAGAAATTCCGAAAAAACACAATACCTCTTTATAATCCGTGAACAACAAGAAACTCCCCATGAAGAAGAACACGACTGAAAGGAGAATGGCCACTGGCAGCCAAATGCACATGAAATATCTCTTCTTTTTTGGAGCAATCATTGTACGTATAACAACCGCGCGTCTTAAAGCTCACAACAATGAAAATACAATTAACTCACAATAATTCGAATTCCAGCTTCACAATCAAAAACGTACTCTAAATAATTATAACTCCAGCTTCACAAATGACAATCAAAAGAATATAGCAAAATAGTTGCTAAGATAGGATTTCACAAAACCACTTACGTTAGTTTAACGAGGAGTTTGAAAAAAAAAATGTAAGAAAGTAAAGATTTTTTTTTTTTTTTTTGGGTCGAATAATTACAATGATAGCAACATCCCAGATAGCTGAATAAGACAACACATGAGCCGCATATAGGGAGAGGACAGATCCAAAGACCAGCCTAGAAGCTAACAATAGCCTACCACACAACCACAAACAAAACACGCTAAAACTAACAAGCTCCCCTATGGGAGAATACACAACTCCCCTATGGGAGAATACACACTCCCCCTACGGTAGAAAACACAATAAGCAAAACCACGAGAAATGAAAAACACAAAAACACAAAAAACACAAAATCACGAAAAATGAAAAACACACAACAAAAGGAAACACAAACAAACACAAGCTAGACCAAAAAAAAATAAGACTAAGCCCTTCCCACAGACGACGAGAGCAACGCGACGGCAAAAATAAGAAACTAAAGATTGACATGAGGATTATGCATATACGTGCGCGTGAATAGTGAGGTTAACGGATGGAAGTAGTGTGTGAAGTTCCTTGAAAATTGGGAAAGTCGAAAAGGAAGCGCAAAGTAGAAGATAAAGGTTGGACCTTTTGGGAAAAACTAAATATTTGGTGCGAATAGATAGATGACTTCATCCGACCTCAGTTCATGGATGTCATACAAGACTTGTTGGATATTTTGGGGAATCCTACGAAACTGATATTTATTTTTCAGTTCTTACAAATAATCTATAAATAGAAAATTACAATCGAACTGAAAAATTAATTTCAACTGAAAATAAAATTATAACCGAAAGAATTTAGCCGAGGCGAGTAAAACTCTTTCCGCAAGAAGAATACGCCCCGTGTGGCAGCTAACGGTTCAGGCGTAACTTCCCCAAAGATACAACGGCAAACGTCTCTAAATCCGTAGCACACCAGATTTACGAGCTCCGGCGAACTTTAACGGAGTCGAGAATTGAGCACTAAAAATAAAAATATATATCATAAAACAAATAAAAATATTATTTGTTTTTTCTCTTTTGATATTTTTATGTCCGATAATTAGACATAAATCTATCTTTTTCTATCCTTTTATTTTCTCTCACTTTTTCTCTTTTCTCTTTCCTCCTCCGATTTTTTTTTTCCACTTCTTCTTTTTTCTCTACATTTCTTCTCCTCCCAACACACATTTATATACACATGAGAGTGGTTACAAAATGAGTTGACTTAATAACAAATTAGTGTAGAAGTTGGAATATTTGTTCAAAAGATGCTTGAAGTAGGTTGGGAGAGAAATTATTGGCAATAATTCTACATAATTAATTGTACACTCAATAATAACAATCCCCCACATTAGTGTAAATTAAATATACTATGTGCTCAATCCTCACAAAACTTTATTGCATCAGAAAATGTAGCTTTTGGCTTTGAACCTTTCTTAGTAAACATCATCGGATGCACTGGCGGCCTAGTGGACATAATGCCTTGAGCTATTCCTCCATATTGTACACCGAGACAATGACACACAATAGTCTTAACTCTATTTTGTTCTATTGTTGTGTCCGTTTTGGCCATGGACAACACAATGCATTCATAAGTGTTTACATTTGAAGCGGCCCACACTTCACACTTATATAGGTGACCTCCCTATCAAGAGTAACCTGCCATACTCAACCTTTACAAGGTTAGGGATTCATTAAAAGTCCATACGACTTACCTCACCACAATCAACAGGTAATATTGCACTTGGAGTGCTCTAGGGAATAGCTCTGGACATTCATATGATCCAAGTGCTCAACTGAATTTTCATAGCTTAGTTTTCCCTTTGAACCAAGTTCGTGGGATCTCCACTCAGCATGGTAGGGTTACCACTATGATCATTCTTTACATTGTGGATTTTTAAGCTCATTCCCTCTAGCAAAACTCCCAATTGATCTCTATTCAATCCTTTCGTCAAAGGATCAGCCAAATTTTCCTTAGACTTCACATAGTCAATGGAAATAACACCATTTGTGATCAATTGACGTACGGTATTATGTCTACGACGTCTATGTCTAGACTTACCATTATACAAATTGCGTTGCGCCATACCTATAGCAGCTTGGCTATCACAATGAATCATCACAGGCGGCAAAGTCTTATCCCAACATGGAATATCGGATAAAAAGTTTCTAAGCCATTCAGCTTATTCACCAGCTTTATCTAAAGCGATGAACTCCGATTCCGTCGTTGACCGAGCTATACACGTTTGTTTTGTGGATTTCTACGAAACTGCACCTCCTCCAATGCAGAACACATATCCTCTAGTGGAGCGAGAATCTCTCGAATCTGATATCCAGCTTGCTTCACAGTACCCTTCAAGTACCGCTGGATATGTCGAGTATTTTAGCCCCTATTCAAGGGTGTACCTCAAGTACTTAAGTACTTTTCTCAAAGCATTCCAGTGCTCATGACTGGGGTTGCTCGTAAATCTGCTCAACTTATTCACCGGATAGGCCAAGTCTGGTCGTGTACAATTCGTCAAGTACATCAGACTCCCTATTATCCGTGAATATTCCAACTGAGCCACTGGTTGACCTTTATTGACTACCAGATTTATACTGAGATCAAGGGGTGTCTTACACATCTACCTAGACTGTGCACCGTCATAGGTATCAAATTTCTTGAGCACTTTCTCTACATAATGAGATTGTGACAAGACAATTCCATCTTGGGTTCTGATAATCCTTATTCCAAAAATAACATCAGCCAAACCCATATCTTTCATGTCGAAATTTCTTTTCAACATTCTTTTTGTATCCATGATCACTTCATGGCTACTCCCCATGATCAACATATCATCTACATATAGACATGCAATTACAAATGTATTTGATGTACCCTTGACATAAACACATTTGTCACATTCGTTGATTTTGAAATAATTTGATAACATCACGTCATCAAATTTCAAATGCCATTGTTTCG